ACTTTTGTATGATAACTTTGTATCCTGCAACCTGGCTATAATCGATTATTAGTTCCAGAAGATTTTTTGATTTTTTTCAGATTTTTTACACAGAAAATCATGTAATTGGCAAACAAATAGTTTATTTCTTTGGTTTCCAGTACAATGTTAAAAAGGACCAGGGACTGAACTGGTGTCCCTTGCACTGCAAGGCAGATTCTTAACCACTGGACCACCAGGGAAGCCCTGCCTCTATTCCTATTTTACTGACAGTTTTTGTCATGAATGAAATCTTAAATTTCATCATATGCTTTTCTGTATCTATTGATATGATCATATGGTTTTTGTTTTTAACCTGTTGATATCATGAACTATATTAATTGATTTTTGAATGGTGAAATAGCTTTGTATTCGTGAGATAAATCCTACTTGGTTGCAATGTGTAATTCTTTTTATATATTACTGAATTCTATTTGCAAATTTTGTTGAAGATTTTGTACCTATGTTGAAGAGACAGATCACAGTTTTCTTTTCTTATGTCTTTGGTTTTGCTGGTAGGGTAATGTTGACCTACCTCATACAATGAGGTAGAACATATTCAGTTTGTTTTTCTCTGAAACAGACTGTAGAGGATTGATGTAATTTTTCCCTTAAATGTTTGATATATTTTACCAGTGAACACATCTGCAGCTGGTGCTTTGTTTTGAAAGGTGATTATTATCTTCTTCAATACACATAGACTTATTCATATAGTCTGGTCTGTAAGCTTTGGCAGACTATACCTTTCAAGGAATTGATCCATTTCATCTGGGTTGTCAAATGTGGGGCACAGATTTGTTCATACTATTCTTTTATTAGAGCTTCCCTGGTGGCTGAGACAGTAAAGAATCTGCCTGCAATACAGGAGATCCAGGTTCAATCCCTTGGTTGGAAAGATCCCCTGGAGAAGGGAATGGCTCCCCACTCCAGTATTCTTGCCTGGAGAATTCCATGGACAGAGGAGCCTGACAGGCCACAGTCCATGAGGTCGTAAGAGTCAGACACAACTGTGTGCCTAACACTTTCACTTCATTCCTTTATTATCCTTTTAATATCCATAGAATCTGTGGGGAAGTGCTTTCATTTCTGACATTAGTAATTTGTGTCTTCTCTCTTTTTTCTTGTTTGTCTGGCTAGAAGCTTATTGATCTTTTCAAAGAACCAACTTTTGGTTTTACTGATTTTCTCTATTGATTTCTTGTTTTCAACTTCATTGCTCTCTACTGTAATTTTTTCTTTTTTTATCTTTCTTCCACTTACTTTGGATTTAACTGGCTCTTTTTCTGGTTTCCTAAGGTGAAAGATTCCATGATTGATTTAAGTTCTCTCTTCTTTTCTAATATTGCATACAATGCTCTAAATTTCCCTTTAAGGAATGCTTTCACTGTATCTCACAAATTTTGATTAAGTTGTGTTTTCACTTATTTAAAATGCTTTACAGCAATCCCAGGAATTCCCTGGCAGTCCAGTGGTTAGGTTTCAGTGCTTTCATTGCCAGGGTCTGGGTTCAATTCCTGGTTGGGGAACTATGATCCCACAAGCCTTACAGTGTGGCACAGGGGGAAAAAAAGCTTTCTCGCAATCCCTATCAAAACACCAATGATGTTTTTCACATAACTAGAACAAATAATTCTAAAATTTGTATAGAAACAATAAAAGACCCTGAATAGCTAAAGCCATCTTGAGCAAGAAGAACAGAGCTGGAGGCAGCATGCTTCCAGCCTTCAGACTACACTATAGGACTACAATAATCAAAACAGTATGACACAGCATCATTCACTCCTCACCTCTCAGCTGCTGATGAGGCAGCTGAGATCTACAGAGGCCTGCACAGTTAGATAATGCTGAAGACAGAGCTAGTCCAGGTCTAACAACTCCCATTAGATGAGCTACGTGGAAAACACCAGTACATGCAAGTGAAGGTTCCCTTTCTCCTGGACCGTCTGCTTCCTCCTCTGCCCCTAACCCACGGTGCACAAGGTAAAAGCACTAACAAACATCACTGGATTACCAGGAGGCTGATGTACAGATGTTTCTGTCAAAACAGTCCAAATAAACTTTTTGACAAGCATCCCCCCCCAAAAAAAACCCATAAACAGTATGAAATGGGCACAAACACAGGCACATAGATCAATGGGACAGAATGGAGGCCCCAGTAATAAACCCATGCTTTTAGGGTCAATTAATCTACAACAAAGAAGGCAAGAATATAACTGCTTATTGTTATTGTACATTAGCTCATCTTATAATACTGAGTAACTATTACCATACGTCAAAAAAGTTCACTGACTCCCAAAATATATGGAGACTGAATAGCACACTTCTATAACAGCAGAGGCAAAGATAAAAAAAATCTCAAGAGAAATTTACAAAGTTTATTTTAAATTCAGGTATAGTTGATTTACTAGTTTCAGGTGTACAACATAGTGATTCTAAATTTTTATGTTATATTCCATTTAAGGTTATTATAAAACATTGGCTATATTTCCTGTCCTGTCCTTGTAGGTTATTTTATATATAGTAGTTTGTACCTCTTAATCCATTCCCCCTATCTTGTCCCTCCTTTCTTCTCACCACTGGTAACTACTAGTTTATTCTCCACATCTGAGAGTCTGTTTCTGTTTTGTTGTATCTATTTCTTTGTTTCATTTTTTTAGATTCCACATAGAAGTGAAAACATTTGAGTATTTGTTTTTGTCTCACTTCACTTAGTGTAATACCTTCCAGGTTCATCCACGTTCTTGACAGTGATAAAATTTCATTAAAAAAATTATTTATTTGGCTGTGTCAGGTCTTAGTTATGGCACAGGGGCTCTAGAGCACATGGGCTCAGTTCTTGCAGCACACAGGCTTAGTTGCCCCTCGACATGTAAGATCTTAGTTCCCTGATCAGAGATCGAACTGCATCTCCTGAATTAGAAGGTGGATTCTTAACCACTGGACCACCAGGAAAGTCCTGTAATCTTTCTTTTTAAAGGGTGAGTGATACTGCATTGCACACACATTCTGCACTTTTATCCATTCATCAGTTGATGGACACTTAGGTTGCTTCCATATCTTGGCTACTATTAAGAGTGTATTAGTTTCCTATTGGAGAAGGCAATGGCAACCCCCTCCAGTACTCTTGCCTGGACAATCCCATGGAGGGAGGAGCCTGGTGTGCTGCAGTCCATGGGATCCTTAAGGGTCGGACATGACTAAGCGACTTCCCTTTCACTTTTCACTTTCGTGCATTGGAGAAGGAAATGGCAACCCACTTCAGTGTTCTTGCCTGGAGAATCCCAGGGACCGGGGAGACTGGTGGGCTGCCGTCTATGGGGTCGCACAGAGTTGGACACGACTGAAGCGACTTAGCTGCAGCAGCAGTTTCCTATTGCTGCATATTATCCCAAAATGTCCTGGCTCAAAACACCAAACATTTGTTATCTCAATTTTTAAGGGTCAGGAATGGGGTGACCAGCTGGGTTCCTCTGCCTCAAGGTCTCTAGCAGAGTTGCCATTAAGATGTTGGGGCAGACTAAAGAGTCATCTAAGACCTGACTGGGGAGGATCTACTTTAAAGCTCACCGCCATGTTTGTTGACAAGATTCAGCTTCTCCAGCTGTTGAACTGAGCACCTCACATCCTCAAGTTTATAGACTAGAGATTGATCTCAATTCCTTGCCATGAGGGCTTCTCTATAAGGCAGCTGCCATAACTGAGCGCTGGCCTCCCTCAAAGGGAGGACTGGAGCAAGGGACAGCAACACATGCAATCTATTTATTTTTTGGCCCGGACCAGGGCTGTGGGATCTTAATTCCCTCAGTTCCCCAACCAAGGTTCCAACCCAGGGTCCCTGACAGTTAAAGAGCTGAGTACTAACCACTGGATTGCGGGGAATTCCCGGCGATCTAGTCTTCTAAAACAAAATCTCAAAAGTGATTACCTACGTCACCCGACCTCCCCACCTTCTGTTATTTTATTCAAGGAAGCTGGTCAGTAAACCCAGCCCACACACAAGGTGAGAGGATTATAAAGAACAAGACAGGAAAGCCAAGCGGAGAGACACGGTAGAGTTTTCTACCAGAGTGAAAAGAATAGTAACAGAGCGCCCAGCAGTGTCACTTCACATTAGGGAGGTAGCTGGGACCAACTCAGAAGAAGCAGCAGCTGACACTTCACGTTCAGAACTACGACTAGGGCCTGTCTTCTCCCCAAGCCTCGGACGTGCTAGGGCATGGGTAAATGAGTACGCAGGATGGAAAGAAGAGGTCCACCCAGCAGGGACCACCGCCCTGCGCAGAACGAGTCCCACTCCGGCGGGAGCTCGGCCCGCGGGGACGCGCGGGGCGGGGAGAGGTCGGCGCGCCCCGGGGAAGTCGTATCCTCGGGGTCGTCCTGGCTGTCACCGCCGGGAACCGCCCCGTGCCGGCGGCCGCCCAAGCCCCGTGGGCACCTCGGCCCTCCAGACGCAGTCATGCTCCCTAATCACTCAGAAACGGAAAGAACTTTCTAGAGCCACAGAGAAACTTTAATCATGTTTCGCCACCATTCCGATCTAAAAAGAAAATATGAATACGGCGGTTTAATTCTAAGGTCTCTTTAAACATTCTGTCACTCCTTGAATCATTTTCGGCAGAACCGTCAACGCCCCTATCAGGGCTTCATTTCCACAAGCACTTCGTGTACCTCAACACAGATGCCACCCTCTCCCCGACAGAGGACAGCCCTCTGGGCGGCGCTAGCGCACGGCGCTCGCGCACCTGCTCCAACACACGCCTGTGACGTTAGCCCCGGCGGCAGCTCCAGGAGGACGAGCTCCCTCACAGAGCATTTTCGCCTCACGCTCTTGCTCTTTCACGGTGACTGACTCAAGTCTGTTCCATGATCATAGCCTTCAACCTTTCCGTCAGAGTTAGCAGCTGCGTCTCAGGAAGCCGGAAGCCCCAGGACCGGTCCGCGGTGACGCAGCGGAAGCCGCGGAGAGGGAGCCTGGGGCCGGAAGCCGCGGGGCGGGCGGTGGCGCTCCCGGAAGTGGCGCGGACGTCGCGTGCGTCTGAGCGGTGCGTCGGGCTGCAGGAGAAGATGGCGGTCTCCACAGGTCGGTTCCTTGCCGGGCTACTTGCATTTTCACCCCGACCCGCGCGGCGCCTCATCTTGCAGCTGGCGGCCAGCCTGGCGGTGTGAGGGAAGCCACAGTACGGCCCCTCGACCGCCAGACTTCCTGCGGAGCGCAGGCGGAGCAGGGAGGGTCCTGGCGACCGTCGGGGCGGCGGTCGTGCCCCGCGTCGGCTGCGCGCCGGGGGGCTGGGCTGGGCCGGGCTCGCCGGGGGTCCGGCAGGCGGTGCAGGGTCCGACTGGCGGGGTTCCGCGGGTGATGCGGGAGCGAGGAGAGGAGTCTGGGTCGGCCCTCTGTCCACCTCCGCGCGCGATGGCCCGTGTGGGGGTCGTGGATGGAGCCAGTCGGATCCTACGGCTCGTCCTGACGTGGGCGGAGGGCCCATTCTTACCTGACTGAATGCGTGTTGTCTGTCTTTCCTGGGAGTGGAAAACTGCGGTGCCGACTGAGTAAAAGCAACGAGCAAGGTGAACGCTCATTGAAGAAAAAGCGACTTCTTAGATTAGCTTTTCAACTCCTCTCTCCTATTGAATACAATTTTGGTTTTCTGTAAGCACAGATTTTGAAATTAGATGTTAGCACTGAGGTTTTAGAAATTTGACTATTTAGAAATGTTAAAAACATTGAAAACTGTATCACCTAAAACGTTAGTACGTGTGGTCTTTCGTTTTTCTGATCGTTACTGAAACCAGACTAGAGAACAGTGTAGTTTTGTATTTCTTGCCATCATTGCATGAATTTTCGTTAAGTGGAATATTTTATTGTATGTTGCGATTGGTACTTTCAAAGTAGTACCTTTCTAGCTACCTTTTAATGGAAAATTGCGTCTTTTGTGTCTCTGTTCCGTGTAGGTGTCAGGATAAGCTGTTTAACGATTTTAGCATTGCGGAACGATTTCACGCTTAGGGTCAGAGCTAAGAGGTAAAGCATAGGTGATTAAAAAGTGACGTTTTAGTGTTGAGACTCTGCTGTTGTCCTTGCTGTTTGAAATTGAGTGTGCTCATGAATGGGGCCATGTCTTTTTTAAGACTTGTGCATCCTGTCTTTAGGTTCTTGAAAAAATTAGTAATAAAATGGTGTATTTTAACTTGATAGTTTTCATTTTGTAGATTTCATTTTTTAAACAGTTTTTCTCCCCTCTACCATTGTATATATGAAAGAGTGTGGAAATATTTTTAAAAAACCAGTGGTTAGGTTATATTAATGGCAGATACTTCTTGGTAACAACATTTAAATTATTTTTGGAAGTTGAATATGAATTATAAAGAAGTTGCTGAGAGATTATTAGCATATTTTGTTGTACATCTGAAGCTTGAGTTTTCTAGTTTATATTTCAGCATTTCAGTTGTTACATTTAAACTGATTTTATGTTTATGAGTTTTGAAATCTTAGCGTGACTAGGAAGAATAACGTTAGGACAGTTAATTGATTTTTTTTTCTTAAACCCCTGAAACTTGTTTTGACACTGTTGCTGAAAATTGCCTTGGCCAATATCAGATTTATTTCTCTTCTGTGTTTTGTAACATTGACAGTATCATCCAGCATGGGGAGAGAGGAGTGCAGAAGCAGTTTTAGACTATGCTTTGTAAATAACTATTTTTAAATTACATTTTCGCTTAGTTATACTTTTGTATTGCTTGCTTCTTGGTAGCAAGGGAGGGAAACAGTACCTGTTTGTGAAGTAAATATGATAAAGCTTGAAATTTAAAATAGATGAGCTAGATGGATGTGCTGTACGTGTTTTTTAAGCCAAATTAATGTAAAAATAACTGGCAGGCCAAAAAGAAAACACCCAACGGATTTTTAAAAAATCTTATTTAAAGCATTTTATTTTAACATGCATTATTTAAGTCATAGCTTTTACATTTGCTGTAACTAAAGAAAAATTGGAAAGAATTTTAATTAGACTTGGGGCTTCCCAGGGGGCTCTAGTGGTAGAGAGTCTCTGCTTGCCAATGCAGGAGACATAAGAGACTCAGGTTTGATCCCTGGGTCTGGAAGAATCCCTGGAGGAAGGCATGGCAACCCACTCTAGTATTCTTGCCTGGAGAATTCCATGGACGGAGGAGCCTGACAGGCTACAGTTCATAGGATCACACAGAGTCAGACATGACTGAGGTGACTTAGCACTAATTAGGCTGAGACCTCTAAGCTGTAAAATACTTTGCCATACCACTTGGTTCTCTTGTTTTGCAGTTGAGAAGACTGAGGCCTAAGGAGGTATAAGCTTTTACATAATTGGTTAGCAGTAGAGTCCAAATCAGAATTCAGGTGTCTTACTCAGTCTGGAATTGTGAATTTGGAATAATTGTGAAATGAGGAATCTTACTTCCTTTGAGACTTGAGAGTGGCTTTCATACTTCTCTCTGCAGGTTCCTTGTCTCAGACTGTCAAGTGCTTCTCATGGATGGAAGTAGGACTGTGGTGGAGACTTCACTGGCTAGGTTTCCCTTTCCCAAGAGACAGTCACCTCTGGGAATCAAGATAATTTCATAGGGCACAACTTAAGAAACATGACTCTATAGAATAGAAATTTGTCAGTATATTTAGTATGTGTGATTCAGAAGTTTAATCACAAGGAGGCAACTCTACTACCTGCTTTGTTGTCTGTGAATTGAGTAAGCTGTGTGGTGCACCATCACCTGCAGACTGAGAGAGGTGACGTGTGGCTGCTGGTCGGGATTGCTCGGCTGTTACTCACATAGTGGCTTGTGGACAGGAGAGTGGCAGCCGTGTGTGCTCTGCCTTACTCACGGTGTGTGTGCCCTGCAGACTGGAGTCCGAGCTCTCTTGTTGGTCTTGTGGACAGGAGAGTGGCAGCCGTGTGTACTCAGCCTTACTTATGGTGTGTGTGCCCTGGAGGCTGGAGTCTGAACCCTCTTGTTGGAGATTGGCGTTTAAATCATGGTAAATGAAAGTCACACATATGGAAACCATGAAAAGCAGAGATTGCCCATATGTGGAGACATCCATTTAGCAAGTATTTGGGGAGCTTTTTGACACAAAGCTTCAAAATTGATAGAATAAATGGAATGAAACCCAGCGTCTAAAAGTTTGTTTTAAAAGTAGTTGACTGAAAAGAGCCAATATATTTATAAGATCTTTGAGATACTGTAAGATGGCACTGCAAGACTGGATTCGGGAGTGTGTTCTTGTTTACAAGGTCTCTGCTGACTTGTGTTAAAGTGGACATTATTTTCAGTTTCAGTTGTAACTCAGCAAAATTTCAAACCACAGAAGGGGAAAAATTCTTAGGGCTTTGTATAGGTGCTTACATACATTGGAATAGTAGTTCTCATAGAAAGTACATTATGAATCATCTAGGCTCTAGCCAAGTTCATTTTATAGATGAGCAGTGAATATATAGATATAAAATGAGTTTTCCAAGATTATTTAACTCGGTTTTGATTCCAGACTGGTTTCTTGATTTCAGCTTCTTTGATGCTGCTTCTGTATCACATTGTATTCTGTAAACTTTTGGTTGCTGCATATAAATGAAATCATACAGCATCTGTCTTTTTCTGTGTGACTTATTTCACTTCAGTCAGTTCAGTTGGTCAGTCATGTTTGACTCTTTGCGACCCTGTGGACTGCAGCACACCAGGCTTCCCTATCCATCACCAGCTCTTGGAGCTTGCTCAAACTCATGTCCATCGAGCCACTGATGCCATCCAACTGTATCATCCTCTGTTGTCCCCTTCTCCTGCCTTCAATCTTTCCCAGCATCAGGGACTTTTCCAATGAGTCAGTTCTTCGCATCAGGTGACCAAAGATTGGAGCTTCATCTTCAGCATCAGTCCTTCCAATGAGTATTCAGGACTGATTTCCTTTAGGATTGACTGGTTTGATCTCCTTACAGTCCAACGGACTCTGAAGAGTTTTCCCCGACACCACAGTTCAAAAGAATCAATTCTTTGGTGCTCACCTTTCTTTATAGTCTACCTCTCACATCCGTACATGACTACTGGAAAAGCCATAGCTTTGACTAAACAGACCTTTGTCAGCCAAGTAATGTCTCTGCTTTTTAATATGTTGTCTAGACTGGTCATAGCTTTTCTTCCAAAAAGCAAGTGTCTTTTAACTTCATGGCTGCAGTCACCATCTGCAGTGATTTTGGAGCCCAAGAAAATAAAGTCTCTCACTGTTTTCCACTAGTTCCCCATCTATTTGCCATGAAGTGATGGGACCAGACGCCATGTCCTTCTTTTTCTGAATGTTGAATTTTAAGCCAACTTTTCACTCTCCTCTTTTCACTTTCATCAAGGGGTTCTTTAGTTCTTCTTCGCTTTCTGCCATAAGGGTGGTATCATCTGCATATCTTAGGTTATTGATATTTCTCCTGGCAATCTTGATTCCAGCTTTTGCTTCATCCAGCTCAGCGTTTCACATTATGTACTCTGCATTTAAGTTAAATAAGCAGAGTGACAACATACAGCCTTAACATACTCCTTTCCCAATTTGGAACCAGTGTGTTGTTCCTGGTTCTAACTATACTGTTGAAGCCTCTCTTGGAGAAGCTTATTTCACATAGCATAATACTGTCTAGGTCCATCCATGTTGCAATGGCAAGATTCCATTCTTTTTTATGGCTGAGTAGTGTTGCAGTGTATGTGCGTGCCTGCCACAGTTTCTTCAGTCATTCCTGTATTGATGGGAACTTAGGTTGCTTCCACATCTTGGCTATTGTACATCATGCTGCAGTGAACATAAGGGTGTGTGTATCTTTTTAAAATAGTGTTTTTGTTCTCTTTCCTTAAATACCCAGGAGTAGAATTGCTAAATTGTATGATAGTTCTATTTTTAATTTTTTGAGGAAGCTCTATACTGTTTTACATGGTGGCGGAACCAATTTACATTCCTATGAGCAGTGCACATGGGTTCCCTTTTCTCCACTTGTGATGACAGCCATTCTGACAGGTGTGAGGTGGTATCATTTTGGTTTTTATTTGCATTTCCCAGATGACTAGTGACGTTGAGCATCA